AAGTGGGCAACAGAGCTAGTCTGTAAACACAAAGCAAGTAGGCATTTTATTAGAAATATACTTGATACAATGTACAAGTGGGCAACAGAGCTAGTTAACAGCCCCCCCCCCACTCCCACCCCCTTGCCATGGGCTATGGGGTTTTTATATTCCTAGCTACAGGTTTTCAAGTTGCTGCACTCTGGATATCAGATACACACTCTGAGTTTCCAGATTTCCTGTTTATGTCTTTTCTTGAGACCTTTAAGGAATCTGGTAACCATGTTCTGCCAATGTCAGAAGTGCTGACTTCTTTGTTCTGTAGGTGGGGGCATTCTTTTATCATTCCCTTTGCTCCTTCCTCCTGCCCAGGTGTCATCTATCCTGTCCAACAAGAGGGTCCAGTGCTTATGAGTCAGACCCCAACCAAGGTAGTCAGAGGACCCTGAACCAATTGTAAGCTTTTCTGGTCTGAAATAGTGTATGCATACAAATCAGGGTCCCTATCCCACGTCTGTAATCTGCCACCAATCATGATTTTTTTTTTTTTTTTGGATTGGGGGTATAAAAAGTTTTACTCCACATTGATAATAAGGGTGGGGATGTGAGTCAAATAAGCTTTCCAGTCGGAAAAGGATTTTAAAAACAATAAAGTATTTTTCACATTATATTAGGAGTCGATAGAGAGTTGCTGTAATCTTTTGGAAGTAAATTGCCAAGCCTTTATTCCAAGACCCCTCTAGGTAGACCAATCATGATTTTTTTTATGTTCCTTGTGCACCAGGTCCTATTTATATTGCCACGTTGCTGTGAATCCTTGGACACACTACTATTGTCTCATGCTGATGGATTCCCTCATCCTGATGCTTTGTTTTTGTTTTACCTTTTCCTGGTTAAGACTTAATAAATGAGTCTATAAATCATATCTTATATTAGAGCTTAAATTCTGAGCACCAGGCTTGCAGAAGGCTAGGGATTAACATAAACCATAAATAAGTACATTGTATTGTCCTGTGTTAAGAAACAAACATACAGCCAGAGATAAAGGAATTCAAACTATGGGAGTAAGGCACAATTTAAGAGCAATCCAAGACTGTCTCTCTGAGGTGTATTAGAGCTTAAATTCTGAGCACTAGGTTTGCACAAACTGTTTATAGTGACAGCCCTAACTCCATTGAGTCTCCGCATAGTTTCAACCTCCATTGAATTCTTTCTGACCATTGATCTTCAATGTAAAACTTTGCCCTGAGGCAGAATGAGTTTGCTGGGATTCTCCAGGGCATCCCAGGGAAGGGCAGGCTATCTAACCCTTAGGCACTTTACTGGGCATGTCTTTGATGGAAATTATGGTTCCAGGCCCCCAAGGGTTATGAGTCATACTCACACCAAGGTGATGGGAGGTCCCTGAGCCAATCCTGTAAGCTTTTCAGGTCTGATAGGAGCTCTGGGGGCATAGTAGTTATTGGGCTGCTAACCACAAGATTCCCAGTTCAAAAATACTAGGCTCTCTGTGGGAGAAAGATGGGTTTTTCTACACCCACAGAGAGTTGGTCTAGGAAACCCACAGGGGCAATTCTTCCTGCCTTAAAGGGTCATTATGAGTCCACTTTGAATCAGTGGCAGTGAATTCGAGTATGTGATGTATCCCAATCATGACCTCTCTCCTACTTCTGTGGTCCTGCGTGCATTGGTGCTGAATCATCTGCCACCTATTATGAAATTGTGTTTCCTTTGTGTTCCATGTCCTATTTAGGTTGCAGTGTAGCTGTGAATCCTTGGATACCATTATGGCCTTATGCTGATGGACTCCCTCATCCTGAGGATGCCTTGGTCTTACTTAATCTATGTCCAGTTTAAAAATAAATGAATGTATCAATTTTATTTGCATTTGGGATCTCTACATTTGAATTGGGAGAAACTTAAAAAAAAAAGGAATATCATAAATGTTTTCTCAGCCACTAGCTCTTTGATCCTCTTAAGTGCAGGAGGGTACAGGCGGAATGACTGGCTTTGTGGTCAGCTTGTATTGCGTAAGAGACATGGTGGTACAGGGTTAAAGTGCCAGGTTGCAAACCAAAAGGTGGTTTGGGCACAGCAGTTAGAGAACATCCTGGCAGCCGGCTTTCTTGAAGAATTAGTCTTTAATCTTGGAAACTACGGGGGCAGTTCTGCTCTCTCCTATCGGGTCCCTAGAAGTCAGAATGAACCCCAAAGTTGCTTTGTTTTGAGAAAACATGGAAAGGAATGGCTGTGTAATACCTAATGTACGAAGAGCAATAGGTAAAACTGAAATTCAGTTGCTCCCAAAGTTAGTCCAAGATCTACCATGAATACCCTTTAACAATATTCTGAATACACAGAATACATGAATATACAGAACATTAATAACCATAAAATTCCCGTTGGAATCAACTACAGCAATGAGAACTTTGAACTCTCATTACAACGCCAATCTCATCTTCCTAGTCTTACATAAAGCACGATGAATGTCAGCATAAATGTAATCTTATGTATCCGAACTTTACCCATTGTGGAGTTAATCCAGCATCATGAAGCCAGATAAACCTTGTCACTCACTCACTGCCAGAGTGATTCCGACGCACAGCCACCCTATAGGACAGCGTCCGCAGGCCCTGGGGGCTCCTTAGACTGACTCTTTTTTTTTTTTTTTAGAATTAAAAATATTGCTTTTATTAAAAAAAACCAAGATAACAAAATCAATAAGAACAGAATAAATATAATATACATCATTACACACCAAAAGGCTTGCAATCATAAAATATATACTCTTAGCAGAGTAGAAAAGCCTCATCTTTCTCCCGAAACCATGAGGAAGAGGGGAATTCCCTGCAAGGACACGCCTCCGAATGGTTTTCCAATTTCGCTCGGAAGAACGAGGATTCAGGGTGGGCTCATCTCCCAAGGCTGCCCACGACAGGGTGTGTCTTCCGTTTCCGAAGCTAGAGGTCCGCGACAGGCGCGCAGAGACCACCAGGAGAGAGCAAGGCACTCCCCCGGCCCTTTTCCTCCCAACCCTCCCGGCGCGCCGCTGGCACCGGCCCAGCGGACGCGCCCAGCCCACTTCCGGGTTGTCGCCGCTCTTGCCGTGGCGTGCGTGATGACGTTTAGGTCTCCTGCGGACCCCGGAAGTGCAACTCGAACTTGGTCGGGGCGCGGAGGATCCCGAGAGGCAAAGTGGTACCAAGCGCACGCACGAGGGAGTTCCCCCGGCGAGCTGGCAGGCCACGCCTCCTCCCGCCTCCCCCCGCAGCCCTGTAGCTGGGGGCAGAGCTCAGGTAGGACCCTGTGTGCGGAGCCGTGAGCGCCGCGCGTGGGCCCGGCCGGCATCTGGACGGGGGGATGGCTCGGGTCGATCTCGGGCGGGGTCTCCGTCTGTGGGTCCTGAGGTTGTCAGGAGCCACGCTGACCTTCCAGCGGCCACCGCTGCCCAGTGTCCAGGAACCCCGCGGATGAGCATATTCCACCTCCCATTTCCACTGCCGGGGCGGGGCGGGGCGGAACACGTGTGCACACTGTATTGCTCACCTCACACCTGGGCATCTGGGGTTCTTGGAGCTAGCTTGACCCTGGATTCGAATTAGGACCCCTCCGCGTTCTCAAGACTAAAGGTGTTATCCACTTAAAGGTCTATCCTTTAAGGGATATAAACTCCACTTAAAGGAATACGTGTTATCCATTGCCAGAGGTTACCTAGAAGTCATACATCGCTGTCATAAAGTGCTCTCAAAACTTGTTACAGACATCAGCACTTCTGGGACGTTCGGTGGGTTGTAGTCTTGCGTTCTGTCCTAAGTTGGTTACTTTTGTCTCCGAAATAAAGTTTTTTATGTTTTGGAGTCAGTCTTATCCTTATACAGCGATTTTATATATTCCTCTTCGACTTTTGGGCACGTATTTATTGGGCCAATTCACTGTCATCGAGTTGATTCTGGTCATAGCCACGTAACTGGCTGTTTAAGTTTTTGCGCAGGACCGACAATGTTTTGTTTTGTTGTATTCTAGGGCCTTGATGAGTTGGAACAGACTGCACCTAACAACATAGTGTTAAGCCTTCCTGTTAAATATATCTATTATGATTTTTCAGACTAGTCACTTCCTCTTTGTTTATCAAAATAGATGCTTTGGGATTTTTGAGTGTGCAAAACATGGTGTTCCTCTCGTCTTACAGCATTGTCACAAATATATTCTTTATCCCTCTTTGTGAGAAGGAACTCAAACCGAACACTCACTGACATCAAGTCAGTACTGACTCAGTGACCCTATAGGATAGGGTAGACCTGCCCCTGTGAGTTTCCAAGACGGTCATAGGAGTCGTGAGGAACAGATATACTGCGTTCATTTAACTTATTTTGAAGCTGACACAAAGATGACTTTTCGCGTGCTCAATTTAGGTCTCAGTGTCAGTGCTGGTATCAGACATCTTTCTGGAGTCCATTCCAACTCATAGTGACCCTGACCCTATAGGACATGGTAGAATCGCCCCCTGTGGCTTTGTGAGACTTTCTCTGGGAGTACAAAGCCTCCTCTTTCTCCAGAGGTCTAACCGTGTGTAACCTAAGTGTGACCAATTGCTTTGTCGTGGCGGCTGCGGTGCAAGTAGATGGTAAAGAATAGTATCTAAGCCAAGAGCCAGTAAGTGATAAATAGTAACATCACCCAAGCCAAGAGGAAAATGTGTTCTTTAAAGCCTGGAGCAGCCATGTATTCCTTCATGTAACAGTTACTCACCGCCTGCTGTGTGCCAGAGAATATTACAAGTAGTCAACAAAGTAGAGTCCTTTTGCTCCTCAAGTTTAACAAACAGATATAAAAAGACAAATAAATTACATCCAGGGGAGAAAGATGGATGATGCTATTGGATGGTGAAGGGGGTCGTTTGAATGGAAATCCTGTAAAGTAAGAGAGTGAGCTCTTGTATGTTTTGAGGTTTGGGGGTTAATTCAATAGTTGAAAGGCAGGACTGTGTTTGCTTGTGTATAGTAGTTGCAAGAATACAGGCAAGAAGGCATCAAAGTTTAAGAAATCTCAAGAATGGATGTTTATTCAGTGATTGGGTGGTGTGCACAAGGGATCTTATTTACTGATAGTCTGTTTTTCTTGGTTTTCTGACAGACCTTTATGAGGAGATTCTGGCTCCCCATAGATGTGTCGAGTCTCGTTTCTGTGCGCCTCATTGAAATCTAACAGAATTATTTACCATTTACTTAGTTGTTCATAACTTTAGCAGTTCCTATGTTTTGAAATGAGAAGAGATTTGCATAGTAGCCTTGACTAACAAAATAGCAAGTGCTTCTCTACCCTGGGTGAAATCGCCTTTCCCATCCATTCATTTTACGATATGGTTTTAATAGAAATTTGGGGGATCTTTAGGTAGGATGTTAAGGCTTAAGAAGGCAGTCACCATGTCTTTTGTTGTATATTATATCCTTTAAATATCCCAATTGTCGGAACCTAACTTGTCTGTATATCATGTAAGTAACTCCACCATTAGAAATAAAAGAAACCACAAAGTATCTTTTGCAACAGTATAAATGCTCCTTAAAAGCCAAATATCACCATGCCCTACTTTGATGTTGTTTTCTTTTTAATTAGAAGGAAAGGTGCGTATTGACTGGCTGTGCTGATGAAGTAGATCTCCTTTGTCTGTTAGATAAGATGAGTAGAAAACAGAAGAAGACAAAAAATGATGAGCAAACAGGGAAAAGAAGTGTTGGATAGAGGAGTGATGGAGCTAGGTGGAGAGTGGGCATAGAGGTCAGTAACCATACTGGGCAGTGAGTACCAGAACTGACCGCAAAGGAAAGGGTACCCAGCAATCGAGCGACACATACAGGAAAAGACATCTCCAGAATGGAATGGGCTGGAAGATGCGATGAGGGTTTACAAATAGCTGGCTACATCTCAGTGTGTGCGTACCTCCGACACTCGCTCTTGTGTCATTCAGCAAAATTGACTATAGCTCACGGGATGGATGCCAGCTCATCCGGTTAAGACTGCATGTATGCAGTCCTGTAGGAATAAACGAAATTGTTCAGACCATGTCCATAATTTTAATAATGACATTTGAGTAATTGTGTAATTTAACAATATTCAACATTGTCAAATTTTTCTTATATAATCTATTTGAGAATGAGGTGGTTGTTTTGTTTTGAATCCAGATTTACTAATTATCTGTCCACAGCTTTTCTTTTTTTTTTTTTTAACTATTAACCAACAGTCTTTTATTTATTTATTTTTTTACTATCAATTTTAGAGCATTTTCTTCATTCTTTTTTTTTTTTAAACATTTTATTAGGGGCTCATACAACTGTTATCCCAATCCATACACACATCAATTGTGTAAAGCGTATTT